GTAATTTTCATCATCAGATTTTGTTTATGTTGGTTATTTACACCACTCCCAAAGGGTTTCTCATTCCTATACACTCCAACTAAGAAGAATGTCAATCTCATAAAAAAATATTTTCAACCACAGGTGTGAAGATGCCATTTTCTCACTTTATGACCACACTGATTTCCATTTTTCACAGATGCCACTAGGAGGTGGCATACTCTTAACACTCAATTCCCTTCAAGAAACTGTCTCTGAGAGTCACAGTATCAAATGGTTCTAAAGCAAATGGAGTTGAGGTGTCCCACACTCCAGCTTTCCGTGTTTCATATCAAGCTTCCTTCTACTAGACTGAACCCTAGAATTCTTGCTTACTGTCCCACCTTGGAATCCCATTCACACCTAACTGCAACATTTTAAAAGGATCCGAAAAACTCATTCTCTCTCAGATGTATGTAATTAATATGGAATGGCAGGATACTCCACCGAGAGAATTTTAAAAGGACTTTTTAATGCAAAACTCTTGACAATCTAATAATAGAATTCAGACATCAGTGTAAAAATAACTGCAAAGACCTTTTTAAAGACAGAAAGGCCTTCCATTCTTACTCAAATAATTTCCCACGGAGGGTATGCTCTTTACATCTGTCTAGACAACATCATAACACATCAGAGAAAATATATGAAAAGCTTTACACTGTCATTCTTGACAACTACCACATGTCCACCAAGTTTATAATACTGAGTGGAAATCAAGATAAACTATGGTTTCAGGAGAAGTCAATGACTGTACCTTTCATGGTGTAGGAGGCAGCCTTATGAATAGTAATGACTTATGGTGGTCATATGTTTTTTTAAATTTATTTTAATTTCTTTATTTAATCTTTATTGTATTTTTGATTGCCATTTAGTACCTTTATACTTCCCTCCCCCAGCAATCACCATACTGTTGTCCATGTGCACAAATCCCTTTTCCTTTCCACTCGATCCCTCAACCCCCTAACCCTTACCTTGCCAAATCCCCCCTCTTAGCTGTCATCCTGCTCTCCATCTATGAGTTTTAGCCTTTGTGACATTATGGATGAACCTGGAGAACATTATGCTAAGTGAATAAGCCAGTCAGAAAAAGACAAACATCATGTGATGTCACTCATAGGTGGTTATGAGTTATTTATTCCTATCAAGGATCCTGTCCCACTTCTTTGGTAAAATACCCGTATTTAACTTTGAAGAACCAGCCTCCTCACTTTCAGTTCATGAGGTTATGGTGGTGCTACTAACTCCAGACATAGAAACACAACCCAGGCTGGCCAATCACATCAAACTGGCTTGTGCCACAAGATGGTCCAATAAGTCAGACCTATGCCTTTGACTAAAATTATTAGGGAAAAATAAATAAATCTCTTTATACTAAGGTTTGGAAAGATGGTAGAAAGTAAATATGGAGCTTTCTGGGCCTATCTGGGGGGAAAAAAGCCAAACTAGATGAAAAAATAATGTGAGTTGAAAGAGGAAACAGAGAACTGAGAAGGAAAAACAAAGAAGGAACCAATGTTTAGATAACAGTGAACACCTGAATCAAACCACCCCTGACCCCATGATAACCCTCCATGTTGCACATTGATTTACAAGGGCTCCATTTTTCCTTAAGCCAGTTTGATGTGCTCTGGGACAACACATACAGTTTTGTGTGACATTTTAGAGAATAAGTTATTTTGAAAAAAAAATTACCCAAGTTTCAGCTACAACTTAACCAATCTAGTATCTGTTCCCCTATTTTCTCCTTGTTTGGACAGGTATACTGCTACCTACAATATCCTCCAGCTTTCCAGGAATTAGATTGGCTTTATGCCTAAGTTTTGCCAATGAGATTTAAGCAGAAATGTCACGTGGTAGTTCCAAAAATTCTTGTTAAAGAGATATACTGTTCTTTATAACTTCTGACATATGCCCTGGCTGGTGTAGCTCAGTGGATTCAGCACAGGCCTATGAACCAGAGGATCCAGGTTCGATTTCCAGTCAGGGCACATGCCTGGGTTGCAGGCCAGTTCCCAGCAGGGGACGCACGAGAGGCAACTATACATCGATGTTTCTCCCTCTCTCCTTCCCTTCCCCTCTAAATATAAATAAATAAAATCTTTAAAAAAACACTTCTGACATATGCCCCCTGGAATTTGGTTGTAATGGCAGGGGCTCCAAGAGCTATTTTGGACCATGATGATAAGATGAGCCCCCACTCCCACCCCAAAATTAAAGATAAGGCTGGAATATATCTGGTTCTTCCTGAGGACAGGAATTTCTGTTTTATTCATGTATAGATATCCCAGCATGGAGAAAAATAGCTAATACATCATAAGATGAGATAATTATCTGTTCAATGAGTAAATTTGGTGTCTCTATACTAACAAATACCCCCCTTCATAAAATCAGGTAATACCAGAACCTCAGTGTTGGAAGTCCTTTACGGAAACCATTTCTTAAATCATTCAGTGACAAAGATGCATTTTTTCAACAAGATTTGAGCTCTAAAGACTTAATGAATTTCCTTAATTCTAAGACAAATTTTCCCTTCACATTTTAAAACTTTCCAAGTCAGAACAGATCTTATAATCAATGTACATGTTTAATTGAATTTTCTCCTCCCCAACAGTTGCCTTAAAATCAATAGTAAATTGGACATAGGGAAGTACACCTGATAGACACATACTGTAGCACTGGATTATTTGTGGTCCCTCAAAAGCTGAAATGAATTATACTTTGGGTCATTCAGAAATATGGGCTTGGAGAGACCCATCAATAAAAAGGCAGAGGAAGAAAAATCAATTCTTTCAGTATCCTAAGTAGAAATCCACAGAACATAACCAAGAAAAAGCACAAACGCTGAAGCCAGAACACTAAGGCTGAAACCCTTTTTTAGCTCTATTACTTCACCTACCCAAACCTCAATTTTCTCATTTATAAAATGGAAGCAAAAAAAAAAGTACCCTTGCCACAGAGTGCTTACGCGAATGAAATGTGTTCATAAATGGTGGTTGACACACCACGTAAACAGCAGAAAAGTCTGACTAGGGTTTCTTCTCCACTGTTCTGATTCCTACACTGCCACCCTCTGCATCTCATGACTAGTGAAAACTGAACTTATTTCCTAGGAAGCCAAAATATTAGAATGTTGCTATGGTGTTCTTTTACTTTCCTAGAGGAAAATACAAGAGAAACAATTAATTCTCAGTGTGCCTCCTCCCTAAAATAATAGGACCAAAGAAGTTAATGGGCAACAGCTCAGTGAACAAGTTTTGCCAAAAACATGTGCTAAGAATTTCATTCTGACAGTTTGTAGGGGAAGTTTACTCCTGTGGCAAGTATTTTAGTTGATCAGAACGTACCATTCAAAATTCAAAAAACTTCAAAATAATTAAGCAAAAGTAGTTAAAATTCAGAGTTAATTTGGGTGTACATTCAAGGGTGACAGCACTACTGTCCTTATGCTGCATCAGAATGACATGTTTTAGCAATTCATGACATCTATTAATTTGTTTAAAATTAATATGTTAAAACTTACTAAGTTATGAAGGACATTCTCATGGACTATGAATCACTAGGGGCAGCTGTCATCTCATGAATACCTGATTTACAAAGGAGAAATTTAAACATTTCTAGCATGATGATATTTTTAATCCATAACTACATATACTTTGTTGATAAAAAATGCTCTATCATTTTAGAGAGATAAGTACTGTATTTTCCAGAGTATAAGATGCAATTTGGGAGGAATAATGGTTGTTAATGCTGCTGTTGAGTTCTGTTTACATTTACATTGGTAAAATATTATGTTATTTATGTTATTAAGTATTTTATCACATTTTTTGCTTCAAAAATTTTTTCCTATTTTCCTCCTCTAAAATCTAGGTGCATCTTATGATCTGAAAATGTGGTAAACTGCTTCAGTGACATGCAGAATTAAAAAAAACTATAAAAGCAAACTCGATACAGCAAAAACAGCACAAGAAATTAGAAATCATTTAAAAAGCTTCTATAAGACTTTTTAAAGATATAGTGAGTAAACATTATGAACTTTAACCACATTTAAATTTGTGGGAATTTTTTTCTTAAGAATCAGATTCTCAAAATAGTTCAACTACATTTAGTATTTTTCCATTATTCTTGCCATCTTCAAACACACCTTCACAAGTTGCTGAACGTAATGCTCTTCTGACTCAATGAGAACCTCCCTCATGACCCAGGAATGTTCATTAAATAATTATTAAGCTCCAGAAGTGGCTTTTGCATAAGTTGATTTGCTTGAATGCCAATTCACTTAGGGACACAGCTTTTAGTATGGTTTTCAAATCTTATCACCTAACATTGAAAGTAAATGTTAAAGGAGGTGCAGAGGAGGTATCATCCATTCTCCATTCATTATTTCTCCAGTTTAGTATGTCGTTGAAACTATTTCAAACTTGTTCTACATGTATATGCAAGGCAGATGATTCTGACGTTCCTCTCAAAGAGAAAAAATTCAATATATAAAAATGGAAAGGAGATGTTTACTAATGCAACCATCACTATTCCACAATCAGGAATAAAAAAGGAGAAGCAAAACCCCCAAGTGTCTGTAATGGGACAGTTCTGACAAATGTTATCATTACACTCTTTTTCCTAAAGAAAATCCATTTTCAATTCATAACAAAGCTGTACTGCAGTCTACCTTATAATTATAGATCAAGCAGTTCTCAGATTTTTCAAGCAGTTATTTTTCGGCCTTATTAATTTAAGATTAACATTCAGAGTTTTGTTTTTGTTCTTTTAAGGCAAAGCTAAGAGGCTAGCATTTCAATTCCCTCACAAATTCACTGTTGTTCTGCTTGTCATATCCACCTCCTAGAGGTATAGCTCAAGCTGATTAAAGCCACAGTCACAAAGTAACAATTCCAGTATTTTTTAACTCCCAATAAAACCTTCCCTCCCCCTTAAATGCCTGTTAAGTGGTCCCAGGATTATTGCCAGAATAAGACTTCACTTACAGATACAAGCTTTCAAAGGCACAGGGCATGAACATCTGAACTCTCAGCGCCTCCATCTTTTCCCTGTAAGGTGTTCTGCAAGCCCTTGGCCAAGAATGAAAGTCAAAGTTAGTTCTGGCACTGGCTGTGTCACTAGGGGTGGCTCCTGATAAGGCCCTGGAAACTCCAATCCAAACACAGCTCCTGCTAGAAAGGTGCCTGGTGTCTGTCTGCAACAGCAGACCTGTTTAATCCAGTACCTACTGTACCTGCAGGACAAAAATGCTGCCTCACACTGCAAAGGGGCTGTGCAAGGACCCAGGCACCAGCAGAGACAGTCATGCAAGCACTGTGGATGCTCACTTAGCCCTTCCCAATGCATGTAATGGATGAGTCTCGTGGTGCCTAAGCCTTCTTATAGAACTTGAAAGGAGAGATAATTTTACATACCAGTGAATTTTTAACACTTAATAGACTTACAGAATCAAGGAGGGTTGTAGGGTTGCTTGTGCCCCTTCTCAGTTAAGGGGATCTCAGGTATCAGCTCATCATGCACCTCTTGCAGCTTTGCATGCACGAACAGGTATAACTGGAGCTAGAGCTTGATAAATTGTACATGCTCTCTTGCTGACAGGCTAGAGATCCAGACAGCACTCCTTACCCTCATAACTCAGGAATACAAGGAGGGCTGTCCTTGACCAGTCCCAGTGGGAGTCAAGGGCAAGCTCCTTCTTATCGTGGTTACCACCTTTTAGGATGTAACACATCTTTAGGCCATAAATCAGTGCATTCTTAGACAGTCATCCAATTAAATTCTGCATACACTAGTGTACAAGAAGAAAAACGAACACCAAAATACATGTCCTTAAAAGACACTAAACTTCTGACATAAAAATGTCAATACTATCAAATATTGAGGCAGTTTTTATAGACTCAGCCCACCAAAGATATCCTGCAGAGTTATGAAAATATGTATCTTTCTCCCCACACACAAGTCAAAGGTCAGAACAAAGACATGTGACATTGACTAGCTGTATACCCTGGGCAAGTTACTTCACCTCTCTATGCCTAAGAGTTTCTCTCTAACGTAAATGGCTGGAAAACAATGCAGTTTCTATAAGCTATAATCAATCTCAAATTCCATAATATAATGAAATCATCTTTTGATAAGAGGAAACATCCATCCAGGAATCTCAGACAAGCTATTGCTAGCTCTTTTTATTTTGTTCATTTTTTCATTCATTCATTCTTTGGTTTAATATACATTTATGGAACATGTACTATGTCCTAGGCACTGTATAAATACTGGGAGTTAAAGTATAGTGGGACACACATATTAAATAATCACACAAATATATAATGATACATCTGATACTTGCTATAGGGAGCTGGAAAAGCTTAAAATGTAAGGGTCAGAAAAAGCTTCCCTTAAGGCAGGACCTCTGGGCTGAGATCTGAGTCAGGGTAGCAGTTGGAGGGTACAAGGGAGGGTTGCATGGAAGAAGAGTTTTCTGAACAGTGGTGGGAAGGTAGAAGGAAGTGCCACAATGGCTGAAGGGCACAGAGTGAGGAGAAAGTATGGTATCCGTGAGGTCAAAGCTGTGATGGACCAAGACCACACAGGATCTGGTGGGCCAGAAATGGGTCGTTGATTTGGATTTAAGAAGAGCAAGAACCACTGGGAGGTTGTAAACAGGAGAGCAGTGGGCTCAGATTTGACTTTTCAGATTTGACTCTGGCTACTATACTGAGAACCAACTGGAGAAGGGGAAAAATTGGCCACTGCAAGTCATGGTAGGAGGCAGTGACAGATCATGGGGCCAGGAGGAAAGATGGGGTGGAGAGAAGTAGGCAGATTACTGTAAAATTAAAGACCAATAAGTAAAAAGAATAGAGGTGGGAAGAGGAAATCCAGGCCCCAGATACGATAATTGTATTTGTCAATCACAGTTATGGAGCACTTCCTACATGCCACGTATCTGCTGGACTCTGGGGTAAAAGATGGCTCAGACGCTACACTATTCCCCTTACAAGCCTCCCAGCCTCTCCTTCTCCTGACTCTAGCACAGTAGGGCAAAAAAATTCACAACACAGGCTCTGGTGTCAACTTATCCAGGTGGAAATCCCACCACTTACTAATTCTGTGACCTTGTACAAATTACTGAACTTTCTGTGCCCCAGTTTCTTCACCTGAGAAAGGAAAAGGCTAAGTAGCTATCCCACAGGTTATAAAGGCAATAACGTGTAATGTGTCTGGCATAGTCTCTGACACACGGTAAAGCTCAATTAAAAAATAGTTCTTAAGATTATGATTGTAGTTAGGTCTACTATCCTGGATTCATCTTTACCAGAAATAGAGCAAGTGGGAGATCAAATAGAAAAGGCATAAAATTACCATATTTGGACTTTTAGGTGATTATTTTTAAAAAGCCAAGCTGGGCTCTCCTACTTTGGGTACTATTCGTAACTGCATAAAGTTACAAAGTACCAAGACACATTTCAGAACTGAAACCCTGTTTATTACATGCCTACACACAGGAAGAATCTGTATCCTGCATGAGCTCTCAAATGTAGACCATGAAACTACTGGCATGAATTCCGGGCCTTCCAAGAGGGACATATTATAGTGTCAAATGCTCTCCTGGCATGTTCAGACAATGACATCGCCTGGCTTTTTATCCTGAACAATCCAACACCCAAGAAAGCTATCCACTGATCATTCAAATAGTGTATAAATAAAATTACTTTTAAGGGGCATGTGTTCAAGTTATTAATAGTGTTTTAGAAAGATCTATATTACACCAATGCTCTTCAAGACTCTTCTTGGACACAGCAATGAATGGACTAATGCTTGAATTAAATGTGACATCTAAAAAATTCATAAACTATTATATACATTTCCCCAATACTAAACTACTAGTCCTCAAGTAGTAGTCACCCCATTATTCAACAAAAGTCTTCTAATAAGCAGAATCCACATCAGTCCAGTTTACCACTGTAGCCCCAGAACACAGTGGAATAAACAGTCCATGATTGGTATTTAATAAGTATTTTAAATGAATATATCTAAAATGAGTAAGCAATTCTCTAGTGCAGATTTGTACAATACAGATGAATATCCTAAGTGCACACACAAATGTTATTTGTACACACACATGCACACATACACACAAGCCTATGTAAATACACAAACGCTAAACTTAAACAAAGATATGATAGAGAAGATTTTAAAAAATGAAATAGTGAATGCAAAGTAAAAATATCTGTACTTTAATGCATTTCAAATCTTGATTACTACTCTTTGCCCCAAATTCCAGCAATCAACTAGACTCATGAGAATTTTTACTGACCTCTTCAAAGATGACCTTGACTAAATTGGGTTTTAAAACTGTCAACCATCCTAGAGAAAGCGAACTTTTTCTTTCTAAATTTGGGCCTCAGAATCCTTTTGGAAGAAAAAATTCACTCACTGTATTGAATGAGCTAGAGAAAAGGTAAGAGGCTTTACTTGTTACCCTATCCAAACCTCTGCTGAAGAAAAGTAGAGACACTGCTTTATCACAGTCAGAATGTTTCTTATTTTATTTGGGTATCAAACGTTGTATTGCCCCCCAAAGCACACAGTTTTTGTACATCTTTTCTTCTGATGGTCATTGCTCTTTTCAGTGAACTCACTCTTCCACTCACTACCCTCACGACAATTAACATCTCAGGCTTATTATGTGCCCAGCACTACACTGACCCTGAACCAGCTCCACCATACTACTGATGAAGCATTTGCCCAGGTTTCACGTTTTATTGTGACCCCAGCCAATGGCTCCCAAACTTGTATTCTTATCAGAAGCAACTGGGGACCTTTCTCCCCAACACCACCCCTTTAAAATCAACTCAAGAGCACTTAAAAGCATAAATGTCAGGGATCTTCTCTGAAATAAACAACTGAATGAAATGCTCCAGGGATATGGTTTGGAATTCTGTATTTTTTAAAAGATTCTCATAAAATTCTAATGTAAGTCAGGCCTTGGGAACCAGTAATATATAATAAAACATATTACTATGTATATAATTGTATACATTTTATGTTGATTATCTGAGAATGGCAGGAAAACACACAAGAATATAAGTTCCCTTTATTTGTAGAATATATAAATCTTTACTTGTACAGTTTAATTCTTTAAAGTGTCCACTTGGAATTACTATGGGTGAACTTTAAATGTTCACTAAAAGCCTTATTATGAAGAAATTAAAAGAGTACTGTGAAAGTGGGTAGAAAATCCCAAGTACCCTCAAGAATACCAAAGACACCCCTCTTCTCCCCACAGGCTAACATTCTGGGAAATGTAAGATGCCCTCGAAAGACCCTTAACACAAACACTTATGACTCACCAGCATGTGAGAGACACTGTTCTCAGTGCTGTGGGGAAGACACAAGTGAAGGTACAAGAGAGTAAGTTTTGGATGGACTTGCATCAGAACCCAACTCACATACACAGCCCTATCACCTGTGGAAAGAGTGGGAAAGGACCAACGCCAGCTCCAAGGACTGCTTCCCATGCCAGCTCCCTTCATTTTTCAGGTGAGGACTTACAGGTTTACACTTCTTCCCAGGGAAGTCTTCTCTGAAGCAGAAACACCCACTTCTGTTTTGTGCCCTCCCAGCAAATGTTTGTTTCTTTCTTTCATGGCACTGAATCCAACTTGTCATCATTTTATTTGTTTAATTGTCATTTATCCTTGAGGTCAGGATCCTCTGTTATTTATTTTATTCTCCGTGTCTGGCATATAGTAAGTGCTCAATAAGTATTTTCTGGAAGGAAGAGTGAAAGAAAGGGAGGGAGGGAGGGAGGAAAGGAAAAGATCAGGTAAGGAAGGACCTATCAATTTTAATTTAGGGGTGATGATTAATTAAGAAGGAAGTCAACAGGAATAAATGGGTCTCACACTTGTATACTCTCTGGAGCCTTTTGGTTGCAGAACACAACTAACTTTCTACAAATTACTGGGATAAAAAGTTACAAGGAACTGATGTAGCAGTTTTAATTCGATACCTTCACAGTGGTGACTGAAGGAAATTTTTAATAACTACCTACCTATCTGCAGAAGTA